AGCGTTATGAGATAATCTATCCCTAATATGTCACCGTCCCATACCGGTGCATATAATCCATAAATCCAACAATTGATAATACAGATAATAAATGTAAACATCAATTAATCCATAATAAGCATAATAAAATTATGTAAATTAATATGCTTATTTGATACTACTCCACAAAATCCAATAATTGTTAATACAGATGATATATGTAAATATCAATTGATCCATAATAAGCATAATTGAAATATATAAATTAACATGCTTATTTTCTACCACTGAAACATGATTAAAACCATATCAAACACAACCCAATTGCTTATATAGAGGTAAGCAAATTGAATTGTCCACAACCAAAATCAATATGCAAATTTCGTTAAGAATTTCATATTGTTCCAGATATTAATTCCTTGTGGCTTACTGCGCATTATCATGCCCTCTGGAGTTTTAATATGACCTTAGACATCATTTAAACCCCCCCCCCCCCCCCCCCCCCCCCCCCCAATTATAGCCCTTAATTCAACCTGGAACGTCAAAACCTCAACCCGGTGGCTAAATCTTTGCCAAAAATCAACAAAATGGGGAAGAATCGCCTCCTTCTTAAATGGAGCCGACTCCCCCCTTAGGAGAGCAGCCTCTTTGCTTGGTAGAGCCGGCTCCCCCTTGTGGGGAGCCGCCTCTTTGAGAGTGGAGCTGCCTCCTTTCAAAAGGGAGCTGGCTCTCCTCCTGTTATCAACCGCGTCTTCTTCGGCGACTTCCAGTTCCTTTATCCTCTATTGTTAGGGTTCCTAGGTGTTTGAACTAGGTCCCAGAGTATTCCAGGAATTCATGCAAGAAAACTTAAAATCAAGCAATTAAAAGTTCATTAATAATCCTACTGCTTTAATAATTCAACATGTATAACGAATTAATTTAAAGTTTATTTACTCCTGTAATTGAATAGGCGTGTAAAGAACACGAGTCAAAGGGAGGGAGTTAGATATAAAACTTGCCTTTAGGTCTCAGTTTGAAACCTTGCACCGCCGTCTCTGAGTTTTCCGACAACTGCCAACTACCGTCAAACCTTCTACTGCTTTGGTTCAAACCCACAAGCAATCCCTTCCTTCCTTCTTGGTCCGACCTTTAATTATGGCCCAAACCCTAACTAGTTCTCTCTGTTTTTCTCTCAAATCTTTCTCTGTTTGTGAATAGGGTTTTGTTGTTTTTAAACCATAAACAGACGTATTAAGTTATATATATATAGGCGTACACAACCCTAATTCTAATTATACTTAGAGAAGGAAAAATATATAAAACCAATAAGTCGGCTAACCTGTGAAAATATATAAAACCCTAATATTATATTATACATTATATAATGAAAATAATACTAATTTAATTATTAATAATTACCAATAATTAAACTAACCATGTATACATATATACCCATATATACATGTATATACATCCATGGGTAATAACTGTACCTATTTAATTCCTTATCCAAATAATCCATTGCTCCTATCCAAGCCCAACTCCGTTTAAAAAAAAAAAAAACATTTAATTCACATTCAATTTGAGCCCACAAAAGTACATGATTTCAATTTAAACAAATAAATTAATTTAAACCTAACATGTCACTTAAACAAATTAATCAGTTTAAACAATTAATGCAATGCCACATAAGTATGCAATTCAATTAAAACAAATAAATCAATTAGACAATTAACCAATTAACAAATAATGAAAATAAAATTGTAATAAAATCATAAAAGAAATACCGAGACTATCCTTTTAAAATTAGGGTTATTACATAGACCACCCATCATTAGAAGAGGGAGAACAAGAGGACCTGATGGGATGACAGGTAGAGGAAGAGGAAAAGGAAGAAGAATACGAGGAATAACAAGAGGACTTGAGGTTCCAGCTGCAGTACCTTCAAACCAAAAGGTACTTTTAATTCAATGTAACTTATTCGCAATCTTTTTCAAATTAGCTAACATGTTAATACTACATACAAATTTATTTCAAATTAGCTAACTTGTTTGTACTCATTTTAGGTTCTAAATATACCATTTTTTCGGTTGTCACAGACACAAGCATCATCTTCTAGGTTGACACAAGCATCATCTTCTAAGTATGATGAAAATAGTCCCTTTTGTTTACTATATGTTAGTAATGAGTGCAAATAACTAATGTATAGTTGCTTGGATTATTGATAGGTCAATGAAGGACAGTGAGTATACATGTTGGTAGTGAGGATAACAGCTACTGTTGGTGTTTTATTTTATTTTTTTTAGGGGTGGATGGCCAGATATTACGACTTATATTTTTGGTTTTGTTGGTGGAATGATGGACAGTGGCTATACATGTTGGTAGTGAAGATAGCAGCTACTGTTGGTGGTTTTTTTTTTTTTTTTGGTGGATGGCCAATTATTACAACTTCTATTTTTGGTTATGTTGGTGGATGGCAAATTATTACAACTTCTGTTTTTGGTTTTGTTTGTTAATGGACATTTGTGTCTATGTACTTCCTGTTGTCAATTGTTGCTGTAATTTGGTGTAATGGCTAATGCTGACCTTAATTGAGCCTCCTTTTTGGTGATTGTTATGTTTATGGGAAGTGGAAACTTTGTTATTAAGTACCTATTGTGTTGTTGATGTTCAGAATGTTAAGTGAAATGTTATAATATGCTACGTTATTAATTCATATTGTTTTTCACTTAACAGGCTTAACATTTAGTGTCAAAGTGTCATAATATGGTGTCATTTGTTAAACAGTTTTCATTTAACAGGTTATGGTCTATGACATATTATTGGACAAGTTTATCATTAAATAGGTTTTAAAAAAGTGGTTATTAGACAATTTTTGTTGTTGAACAAGTTTTAAATAAGTGATCATTGGACAAGTTTTGTCACTGAACAGGTTTTAAAGAGGTGGTCATTGGGCAAGTTTATCATTTCATAGGTTTTTATGTTTCTAGTGTAAGAGAATTGTAAGTCATAGTGTATCAAAATGCAGTGACTTTTGCTATCAATGCAAGCAATTGAATGCTATTGTATTTAGTAGTGTGTAAAACATTGCATTAAATCCACTACACTTCTGTGACATTGCAATAACCACAATATGACTTCTACTACAACTCAACTGCATTGGCCACTAAATCACTTATCAATAGCACAAATATAAAAACACTAAACATGACTCCAAAAAGTGTATTAATCAAAACATAGCATTTCATTTATCAACACCATTACTACAATTGGATACGCCCCATCTTCCTACATAGAATACAAACATACAACCTAAACTTCCAAAATATCATACAGCAACCCCATATTTCTAAAACAGTCCTAAATTCAGCTGGATAAGCCACATCTTCTTACATTGTTTCACTTAATAATTAGAGCAACAAAAAAATTTAGAACAAAGAACCCAAACAAAATAAGGCTTCCAATAAACATAACACTTGCAACTGAATTGAGAGCTGTTCGAGGAGCTTCTTCTGGCAAAGGATGAGCTACATGAGGCATAACATAAGCAGGTAGAGGAGCTGGAGTTCTAATGTTATTTGGGGTAGCAGGATGAGTTCCCTATTCAAAGTGTTTGCAAACCCTTCTATTGCAATTAAAATATAGCCTACGAGGATTGTTCACGGACTCAGAAATGAATACCGACGCTCTTTAGCCACACCAACACCTTTTATTCATGATTGGAAACCCAACATTGTCCATTTCAAACACCTTAAAAAATTCACGACATATTGAGCAAAGTAAAAAAAAGATCTATATTTACACAACCTCTGTAAGTATATATAAACTGATATGCTGAAATTTTACTAATACTAATCCCTTAAAATTTTACGAATGACAACTTCTCTGTTTTCTATCTCTTCGATTTTTAGAAATCAAACCGAGAGACTCCATGATTGAGGAACGAGACCAGAGAGCAAGAAATGAGGAGGAAGAAGAAAAGAGAGAATAGAGGAGATAATGGACTACTTATCATTCTTCATATATATATATATATATATCAACACATACCAATATAGACCCAATGACAAAGATGGGATTACCTTTCACTGGAGTACGAACAGAGGGTTAGAGGGAGGAGTAGACCACGATAGAGACTGGATTTAACTTGATTCGATAACAAACAGAGGTGACCGAGAGGGGATCTAACCACGAACAGATGCATAAGGTTGATATGGGGAATCAATTTAGTGTTTTTCTGAGTTTGGGTCAGCTAGGGTCTTAACAAATTGGGGGTGTTTATATAACGATCTGGGGTGTATATACTAGTATATACAAGGCTTGTTTGGCCCTAACGGTCACAAAAAGGTTATTTCGTCTTTTCAAATTTCAAAGGGCATTATTGTTCATAAAATTTACTTTTTATCTCACGTGCCTCAAATAACGGTGAATTTTCGACGGACAGTGGCCGAAAGGGGCAATATGCAACAAAATTGCATAGTTCAGGATGTTATTTGCATAATTGGTAGTTTATGGGTTTTTTTTTTTTCATGTTTATCTATAGTTCAGGTTTTCTTTGCACTTTTTCCTAAAAGAAATAATAGAATTTTGGCTTTACAATATGAAAATTCATATTTTTATAATGTGTCTATATATATAATCTCCACGTATACAACACAATGTCAATAATAAAATAGAAGATAATGTTTTTTTTTATTTGATTTTAATAGAAGACAATAATATTTTATTTTGAATTAAAATCATAAAACTTTTTTTTTTTCAATTCGTATAACCTTCTCAACTAAGAAAATGATCATATTAAAACCCGAATGTTTTAAAAAAGCATATCATATCACCCTTCTTCTCCGGTAATTTTCGGTCTAAAACTAACTTGATTGTATCACGCGACAATTACGGGCTGATCAAAATAATCTTATAATTTATAAAGACTAAATGGCCCTTCTCACACTTTAAAATCAACAATTTTAATTTAATAAACTTAATGGTCGAGCAAGTTATTGGTTTTGTTAGTTGAGTCTTGGGAGGGTCTAAATTCCCCTGATCCTCAGCATTCAGGTCTGGATAGACCACCCTATTCAATAAACCCATTTCTGTGTTCTCTTTTCACTCCACCCCTGCAAACACCCACCCACCCACCCATGGCGATTCTTACTCTACCCTTAGTCACTTCCATTCTCAAACCCCACAAGACCCATCTCTCATCTTTCGTTTTCATCACAAGATCAAACCATCTTCTTCTCAACAGGTCTCTCAATCGCCGCTTCGCTAAAACCACAGTCTGCGCAATCACTACTTCGGCAACCCAACAGTACTCTTATTCATCTACAGACTCTAAGCAGCCCAAGAAAGTTTCCATACCCACCTTTCAACAAGCCATTCAGCGCCTCCAGGTTATGATACTTCCCTCTTTCCTAAAAATTGGTTAATGCTTTGTTTGGTTGCCAAGAAATGTGGGTAAACGAATTTTGGGTCATCAGAAATATTTTCCATTGACCCACAAGAACACAGATACTGCACCCATGGGTGTGCTGAGTTTCTTGGTCTTTTGGGTTGGGCAATGAAAATCACACACACACAGATATATATTTTCTTCTTGAAACTAAAAGGTGGATAGATAGAATGATGTAGGAAAAGAAAAGAAGTTGAAATTGCTTGGACCCAAGAAATAGACCTAGGTTGAATATATGGACTATTTAATTTAATTTTTAATTTTTTTTTTGGAAACTTGCATTTTATTTATTTATTTATTATTTACATGTTTTATATATTTTAATTTTTTTATACGAGATGGATAGATAGTTTTTATTTCTGTATCAAATTGGATGCTTGGACGGAAGAAATGTACATAGGTTGAATATGCGGACGATTTCTTTTCTTTTTTCTTTTTAATTTATTTTTTGGAAACTTGCATGTTATCTTTCTTTCTTTCCTTTTATTTATTTTTTAATTTTTATACGAGATGCAGAGTTTTTATTTCTCTATCAAATCGGATGAAATAGTTTGATGATGGTACAAGGAAATCATGTTTTTATATTTCCACACATTTGATTGAATGGATAATCAATACAAAGTACAACATGTTGTGACCCATCTAACTCTGGCTACTGGGTCGCATTGTAAGAGGGAATAACACGAGGAACTTATCTGTTTTCTCTACCATGAGCGGCTCTTTTTTTATTTTATTTTATTTTATTTTTTATGCTTCTTTTGCTCAAATTTCTTCAGTGTTTCAGAGTACTCTACTGTTTGACTGAAAAACCGTGTTTGACTTTAAATTGATTTTTAAATTGATTGCGACTGTAATTTTCCTCCATTCTTTTACCTTCTGTTTGGTTTTCTTTTTTCATTTTTTGAATGCTACAGGAGTATTGGGCTTCTGTTGGATGTGCCGTAATGCAGTGCAGCAACACAGAGGTAATGGGTAATTTTTAGTCTTGTTTATAAGCTCCCTCGGTTTTATCTTATTTCATATATTTGTATGAGTTGATGCTTTCTGCTTCTGTATGTATTAGTCACATGTGGTAAGAGAGGAAAATTCGAATTGGACGTCTTTTGCCTGGAAATACCAATCCAAGAAATCTTGAACGAAATATTTTGAATTTACTGATTTAATATATTTTCCCAATGAAATACACATTCAGTCATATTTTTCCTCTACAAAGTACAGGCAGACACATTATTAGTAATAAAATATTCATTCTGCACTATTTTCTAGTAAAATAATGATAGCATTGGCCCTATCCCACCCCCCCCCCCCCCCCCCCCCCCCCCCCTACTCCTCTCTCAAAGCAGTTTCTTGTCAGAAGTTCATATAATGCATTTTTGCTCTGGCTTTATTGATCAGGTTGGAGCAGGGACAATGAATCCTCTGACATTCTTAAGGGTTCTTGGTCCAGAACCGTGGAATGTAGCGTAAGTATGCTTTTGACTTTGTAAAAGTTCATGCTTTGTTGATTGTAATCATTGTAGTAATATTGGTTATGTTGGGACGTCAAATGAGAGTCTTTAATGAATCTTAATTGTGGTGATGTTAATAGTGTTAAGCTCTAGCAAAAACAAATACAGAATTGGATCTTCTTTAGAAATTGGATGTTACCTTGATGGTTATGCTAGTGTACTTTAATAAATGCTAAAGTTTTGAACTGACACTGTTACAACTCATTATAGGCTAGATAATAATGTATATACATATTGTTTCCATTGAAAAATAATTGCTTTCTCAGGGAGTCAAAATGTCCAATATACAGTTGTCTTGATAAAGGATGGTGACGGAGTGAGAATAGGATAAAGGTTTTAATCATTTTGTTAGTTGAAGTGCAAGGTAAACTAGAGATCTAGAAAGGGTGACACTGAAGACTGAATCCAAAATAAGGTTGTCTGTCCATCCTGTGCTCTTCAAAACAGAAAGAAATGACCATATAGCTTGTCAGTTAGTTGAGTCAGACAGTCAGGTGAAGAAACATAGAAATAGCGTAGGGATGTATGACAAAGAAATAAAATATTTAATGGGCAAAAAGGTAGTCTTTTCGGGTACCATGTAATTATTTTTCATATTGTGAGCATGATATTTTTCTGGAGTTCTAGAACTGATATCAATAACTGAATAAAAGGTTTAGGTATTTATTTACTTTTCCTTCTCTTTTATATTCTAATTATTTCAACTACATGATGGCTTCAAGTTCATTAATGGACTGCTGATGTGGTAGTTTCTGGTGGAAGGTACGTGGAGCCCAGTATCCGGCCAGATGATAGCCGTTATGGTGAAAACCCAAATAGGCTTCAACGCCACACTCAATTTCAGGTTTAACTTATTTATTTATTTTCTTTATTTTTATTTATCAAATCATACAGTCATGATAGATTATGGAGCTTTCTCAAAGCAAGGATTGTTAGCTTTTGACCCACCTTTGTTTGACTTCATGTTGTCAATTCATTCTCAGGTTATATTGAAGCCTGATCCTGGAAATTCACAAGATCTTTTTATCCGTAGTCTATCAGCCCTAGGTAGTTACTGGACCCTTTTCTTTTATTACTCCTTTTCTTGTTTTTCTGGTTGCAACACAAGCACAAAAAATATGAGCTCCATGATGCATTTCCAGAATTGTTTTGGAGGTTGGTCAGGTGAATTGTGGCTGTTGAATAAGTTTTTATTGTTAATTGTCAAATATCTAATTCTAAGAAGTTTAGGACTCAATTCTTATTGATGGTAATTTTAGTGCATCTGTCAATATTAAGTCTTGGGTTACTATGTGGGTTCTATTGTAATTTTGGAAGGTCTTCACTTGGGTTTTATGGACCCTATTGAAATATAATTTCAGTATAAATTGTCATTGATAGGTATTGGTTTGATAAAATATTTGAAATTCTCTCAAGTTCCTTGCGTATTCAATGGATTTCCCTCTGGATTCTAGGGCTATTTTTTTTCTCATTACCTTGCTTCTTCGACTTTGCTTGATCATTGTAAGGTTCTTTTCACTAATTTCTTCTAGATAACATTCTCCCACTTTTATGGATGAAACTTTCCGCAAACTATTTCTTATAGATAATTCTTTTCGCCTTTCTCACTCTCTCTTCCTCTGATTTTGTTAATGGAATCCTTATTTGGCAAGTTGACTTGCATCAATTGGTCTTCTAATTTTGACTGGGCATGTAGCTTATAAAAGACTTATCTGTTTCTGCATTCCATGGATTCGTTGGCACTATAACCAAGAATGATTGATGGAAAAAATTGGCTAAATTGACAGAATGATCACCTTGTTGCATTCACAGGGGTGTGTTTGCAGAAAGATGAAAGTTCTAGGGTTCTTTTTTGCAATTTGCCCTTTTTTTGGATAACCTGGGAACTATTCTCTTTATTTGTTTTCATTTGTAGATTTTTTGAGTCAGATGAGAATATAGCTGTGCATGGTTGTCTTGTGCATATGTTGTATGTGTATGGGTGAATCTCTGAGGTGCTTTTTGCTGATAGCCTGATACTGGAACTTGTAATAAATTAAGTCTTTCTGTTGTCAATAAAAGAGCAGACTAATTAGAAATTTTGTCAAACTAGTAAACAAGATTAAACAAAATTATCATAGGGGTGCATAAGTTATTTTGTTTATTAAATTTATTTTTCCACCAAATTCAGTTCATTTTATATTCATTTACTGATCTATCTCCTTAACCTTGGCTTGAGTATATGTAGCTTTATTCTTGACAGGTATCGATGTTAATGAACATGATATACGATTTGTAGAGGACAACTGGGAAAGTCCGGTAATATCTTGCCTTTTATTAGTGAAAATATGTGTGTGTTTTTTTTTTTATAGTGCTTCAGTTTATTTGGCAAAAATTGATGCTAATTTGTACACTGCTGTCTGACTACTTTGATTGGATGACATGGCTGTGGTTCATTTAAATCTGGATGACTCTTTGCATACATTTGATCATTTAGCAAGCTTGTTTTCCTTTGTGTTGGCATGAAATGTTCGTAGGTTCTTGGTGCCTGGGGTTTGGGCTGGGAAATTTGGATGGATGGCATGGAAATCACACAATTCACCTACTTCCAGCAGGTTCGTTCTCATGCATGAGATAGGATTTGATTCTTATTTATTTGAAGATTTTGGACTTTTTATTTTTTGCTTAACGTGGTTAAAATATATAGTTACACTTTTCAAAATCTGTTCTACACATTCCATGCGCTCTTTATTTCATTTTTATTTTTCTTCTTCTTCCCTTCTTTTTCGTCTTTTTCCAGGCCGGAAGTCTCCAATTGCTGCCAATATCTGTTGAGATCACTTATGGTCTTGAACGTATCCTCATGTTACTTCAGGTCACTTTATTATATTATTTTGTATTTTCTATCTTATATTCTTCTTTTCCTTACATGTGTCCGTCTGAAATTTGTTCAAACTAATGTGCAGGGAGTAGATCATTTCAAGAAAATTCAATATGCAGATGGAATTACATATGGAGAGCTGTTCCTAGAGAATGAGTAAATTAACCATTTGAATTACTAATTTACTTTGTGAAGAGTATTCTGACAACACACACTGCAATGCAAATTTGGATGGCAAATGGTGACCAATCAAACTAACTAATAAAGAAAGAAAATTCATGAAATGCTTAGAACATGGTAAAAAGAAATTAATTCGCTGATTGTAATTAATATCTCTGTTATTGAAGCAGTATTATGTTCTCAAATTCTTAAAGACAGCACAAGAACATTTGCTACCCCATTTATTGTTGACTTTAAGATATAATCAAATCAAAAGTACATGATAAAGAAGAAGAAAAAGAGAAGAAAGCGGATGAGAGAAAAAGAGAAAGAGATGGGGAAAGAGAGAGAATGAAATAATACTTTCATCCTTCCACCACATTCTATTTATAGTAACAAGTTTCAGAATTTACACATTAGCACCAACATTATCTAAGTAAAAACAAATAAGCCCCTGACAACACTCCCCCTCAAGCTGGTGCAAAGATATCTATCATGCCCAGCTTGACTAACATATTTTGCAAGCAAGTCTTGCTCACACCCTTAGTCAAAACATCAGCAACCTGATCATGTGTATTGACGTATGGAGTACAAATCAGCCCAATACGAAGCTTTTCCTTGATGAAACGTCGATCGACTTCAATGTGCTTTGTCCTGTCATGTTGAACTGGATTGTGGGCAATGCTAATAGCAGCCTTGTTGTCACAATACAACTTCATTAACTTGCGAACAGGATAACCCAACTCATCCAACATCGTACGTAGCCATAACAACTCACAAAGTCCATGTGCCATGGATCTGAATTCAGCCTCTGCACTAGATCTAACTACTATAGACTGTTTCTTGCTTCTCCATGAAACAAGATTACCTCCAACAAATGTGCAATATCTTGAAGTAGATCGTCGATCTGTTACAGACCCTCTGCGCAATCAGCATCAATATAGGCTTCAACATGTAAGTGGCCATGACTGCCAAAAAATATCCCCTTACCAGGTGAACCCTTGAGGTAGCGAAGAACATGATGAGCTGCCTCAAGGTGAGGTGTATGTGGAGCATGCATAAACTGACTAATCACACTAACAACGTAGGCAATATCCGGGCGTGTGAGAGATAAGTAAATCAGTCTCCCAACCAATCGCTGAAATCTTCCCATGTTTTCTAATGGGTCTCCATTTACATCATTAAGCTTATGGTTTCGCTCAATGGGAATATCAATTGGTCTAGCTCCAAGCCTGCCTGTTTTAGCCAACAAATCTAACACATACTTCTGTTGAGAAATGAACACCCCTTTTTTCGATCTGCACACCTTGATGCCAAGAAAGTATCTCAATGATCCGAGGTCTTTAACCTCAAACTCTGTCCCCAAGAGTGACTTCATTCGACGAATCTCTTCTGGATCATTTCCAATAATAACAATATCATCAACATATACAATAAGGGTAGTGGTGCAGCCCTGGTGCTTCTTGATGAAGAGAGTATGATCTGTCTGACTCTGTGTGTACCCTACTCTTTTCACAGCAGTACTGAACGTCTTAAACGAAACATGTGGTGACTGCTTTAACCCATATAAAGCTTTATTTAGCTTGCACACTAAATTTTGACCATTAGCAAGCTTAAACCTTGGTGGCATAGTCATATACACCTCTTCCTCCAAGTCACGATGAAGGAAAGCATTCTTTACATCCAGCTGATGTAAGGGTCAATTCAAATTAGCTGCCAAAGAAAGAAGAGCACGTATAGTGTTCATCTTGGCAATTGGAGCAAATGTTTCCAGATTTCAATTCCATAGGTCTGAGTGAAGCCCTTTGCAACTAACCGAGCTTTATATCTCTCAATTGTTCCATCTGCATGATACTTTATTGTGTAGACCCATTTGCAACCTACTGGTTTCTTACCCTTAGGTAATGGAACAATATCCCAAGTACCATTCTTCTCAAGGGCCTTCATTTCTTCAAGCAGAGCTTTCTTCCATGGAGTTTGACTGATAGCATCTGAAACACTAGAAGTAATAGATATAGAGGAGATACACGAAGTGAAAGCACGATATGTTGGAGATAAGGCATCATAGGATACAAACTGAGATATAGGATGCTTTGTACAACTACGAACACCCTTACGATAGGCAATATGGACATCAAGATCAACAGGAATGCTATTGGGAAAAGAATCAGGAGTATCAATGTCAACTAAGGAATTACCTGGATTGAGGGAGACTTTTTTTTTTTTTTGATAAGTCTGGATTGAGGGAGACTTCTTGGTCTTGGGGTGAGTCAATAACTTGTTTTGCCTTCCTAGTGTAGATAATTGGATGTTTTCCTTGCTGCAAATCATTTTGCAAATCATTAGTGTTAGGAGGACTAGACATAGGCACCTCAGTAAGAAGCTTTCCTTGAATGGGAACAGGCAAGGGAAGGGGGTGGTCCCTTCGAATGGACAACGGATTCTCTACCTGTATAGTAGTCTTCCCCTGTAGAGAATCCTAAGCAGTGGAAAAAAAAGGAACAGACTCAAAAAATGTAACATCCATGGAGACAAAGTGACGACGAGTGGTAGGGTTATAACACTGATACCCTTTCTGAGTGGTGGAGTATCCAAGAAAGACACATCGGATTGCCTTAGGGTCCATTTTGTCCTTGCGATGATGAATGTGAACATAACAAACACAACCAAACACTTTCGGAGGGGCAATAAACAAGGCAGTGTCATGGTGTAAGACAGAGAAGGGGGATTGATAGCCAAGAACCTTAGAAAGCATGTGATTGATAAGGTATGTAGCTGTTAAGGTTGCATCAGCCCAATAGCTTTTAGGCACTCCCATCCCAATTAGAAGAGAACGGGTCACCTCTGTAATATGACGGTGATTTCTTTCAGCTACACCGTTTTTTTGTGGTGTATCGACACAAGTTGGATCCGCGGTACGTGTGGATGTGATTAAAACTAATTCCTTGCAAACAAATCCCATCTTGGAATCTCTTCAAAACCCTTCACACCCACTAGGGTTTACACAAACTTGCCCTAGGGTTTCAACTACAAACCTAGAGCTTTACAAACCATGCTCTGATACCATGTTGACTTTAAGATATAATCAAATCAAAAGTAAGTGATAAAGAAGAAGAAAAAGAGAAGAAAGCAGATGAGAGAAAAAGAGAAAGAGATGGGGAAAGAGAGAAAGAATACTTTCATCCTTCCACCACATTCTATTTATAATAACAAGTTTCAGAAATTACACATAAGCCCCAACATTATCTAAGTAATAAAAAATAAGCCCCTGACAACATTTATCACCTTGAGAATTGTTTGTTAATCCTATTTCCTGACATATATATGGTAACTCCGGAATGCACTATAGTTTCAAGAGGCCTTTTGAGCGTGACATTTTGAGGGTCAGCTTGAGGCAAGGCTCTGGGAAAAGGTCTTGATGCATGATTTGGGGATAAGTAACATAGAGCTACTGTAGGATCAAATCTAGCATGTATCAATAAAACAAGAAAGACGTCCTATGATTTAGTGCTTGCTTTATGTGTAATTTTCTACACCATAACTAACATATTGGAACTCAATCCTTGATGAAAATGACTGTAGAGAATGAATTTTCTTGTTTGTCGGTAGCCTAAAATTTTTACAACCTCACAACAGTAATTTTTTTTGGGTCCAATTGAGATTAGTTAACTAAAGGCCAAAGAAATTTACCTGCAGAGGTTGGTGAGTTGGTCATTGAGATAATTCAGGAACTAGAAGTTTCAGATCATGTCTTTCCAGGCTTAATGATGTATATAGGTCCTTTCATTTTGAATTGGGTTGGGGCCACTTGGGTGTAATGATTAGCCAATGAAATTGCACCTGAAGTGAGTTTGATTTATGATATTTTGTAACAGACTGAAATCTAATGCTTTATGCTCTGTTTGTAAGAAAAATGGAAAAGTAAGTGGAAGGGATGATAGAAAAGATGGATGAGGCATCCCTATGGAAGGGAAGGCATCTTCCTTCCTTTTTGTTCAGTTGACAGAAGTGTTAGTAGAAAGGATAGATGACTGCACACTTTTTTTTGTTTGGTTAGAAGGAAAGGTAGGAGAGATTTTATATTTTATTACCATTATATTATACCCTTGTTATATAATTTGACCAAATTTGTTTAAGGGCGATATTGTCATTACACATTCTGCATAATAATTATCCTTCTCTTCCCTCATCTCTTCTGTCAATTTTGAGGGGATGAAAATTTATGAGTGAGGGGGGATCCATCCATCCATTGATGGAGAACAAGGCGCAACTCAAGAGCTAGAACCACATATGACCCGTAGTTATTATTGGAGAAGGGGAAAAGAAAGAATTAGGGATATTAGTAAATTAGGGTTTTTATTTATGATTATGGTTATTTTTAATAATGTTTTAAATTTAGGGGTATTTTAGTACTTTATTGTTTTAGGGTTTGTTTATATCTTGCCTATATAAAGGCTCAAATGTAATCAGACAAATCAGTTTTGAGAAATTGAATATTATCATTGAGTTTGCGAACTCCCTTTGTGTCTCTTCTCCCTTTTGTTTTTACTATTTTTAATCCCTTCATCTATCTATCTTACCTCCTTCAATCTGATTCTCATCCCCTGTCGTCTATTTTCTCATCCCCTTCTTCTAGTCTATCAATTCTTCTATTTTCTCATCCAATTCTTTCTTTATGGTTACTTGTCCTACGTCATCCATACTTCACTTTCCTCTAACTTTCCCTCCTACTAACCTTTTTTTTGTTTGGTTATAAGGAAAGGTAGGATAGATTTTATATATATATATATATTTTTGATAAGTAAAAAATATATTAGAAAAACATTCAAAAGGGGAATGCGTCCCTAATACACAAAAACGAACGAGCAAAAGTCAAACCTACGGACCAACAGAGTCCAATAGAACAAAAAAATCATCAATCGAGGAGCAAACACTGCCTCTAACATAACAGAAAAGAGAGCGAAGAATAAGAGACTTAAGGTTTGCAAAAGACGATT